ACCCTCCAATGGGGACAGAGGTGTGCCGGGTGGAGTGTATATAGTTGGCCTTGCAGGGCCGTTTTTCCTTGTCTTGTTGTGAAGTACAATAAACGCGTCTGAACGCATGTCGTAGTCCGAGTTCTCCGTACGTCGAACCCAGTACTTTTCAAAAACAGATTATGTCAATCTCCTCACCTCCATTTTATTTCCCAGTCCATTCCCAATGATGGCATAGATTTGTTTGCTTTAAATATGTGATGTGTACTGAGAGAGAGAGAGAGAGAGAGACTGTAACTTTTACACAGAATGAAAATCTCATTCCAGGTTCTGAGAGACAAAGGACACATCTCTTGAAACAAACAAAAAAAATGGCAATTATCATATGATTAACCTCCAGTTTCTGAGAACATCAAAGACCTCTTCCAATATTACTCCTCTGGTTCACAGGAAAGCATTTGCAAGCCATATGCGCGGAACAGGATTTTATGCCCATTTGGCAAGTCAAAGGAAACGGTACATTACAGGCAAACATGGTATGGTTGCCATCCGCCAGGCGGGGCCTAGATATTCCCTAGAATTACAACTGATCTCCTGCCTACAGAGGCCAGTTCCCTTGGAGAACATGGCTGAGGAGAAGAGATGAAGTACATTCAGCTGAGGGTATTGAGCTGCGGTGGCTCAAGTAGTTAAGACGCTGAACTGCAGGCTGTGGAAGGTCGGTAGTTCAGCAGTTCGAGACCCAGCTGTGCCGCATGATGGAGTGAGCTCCAGTCTCTAGTTCCAGCTCCTGCCAACCTAGCAGTTCAAAAGCAAGAAATTGCAAGTAGATAAATAGGTACCGCTTCGGTAGGAAGGGAACAGCGTTCCGTGTGCCTTGGTGTTTAGTCATGCTGGCCACATGACCACGGAAATGTCTTCGGACAGCGCTGGCTCTTCGGTTTTGAAACGGAGATGAGCACCGCAACCCTAGAGTCGGATTCGACTGGCTTTCGAGCAAGGGAACCTTTACCTTTTTACATGACCATCCCAAGGTCACCCAGCAAAGAAGGAGGAGGAGGAGGAGATTGGATGTATACCCAGCCCTTCACTACCCGAAGGAGTCTCAGAGCGGCTTACAGACAAGCCAGTCTGGTGTAGTGGTTAAGTGTATGGACTCTAATCTGGGAGGACCAGGTTGGATTCCCCACTCCTCCACTTGCACCTGGTTGGATGACCTTGGGCAAGCCATAGTTCTGTCAGAGCTGTCCTTGGAAATAAGAGCATTTTCTCTCAGAGCTCTCTCAGCCCCACCTACTTCACAGGGTGTCTGTTGTGGGG